CGTCCCCAATCTTCGACATGCATACACAAAATGGAATTAAAATTTGAAATCTAGAATCGATCCAAAAACTGAAAGTTTTTATTTTGAGAAATCACTTACACCAGGGAACAGCCACGAGGAGAGGATCATTTTTACCTCTTGGTTGAGGTTCAATTCAAGCAGACTTCACCGGAAATTGGCCGGAATACCCACGGTCACAGTTTCTTAGATCTGAAATTGAGAAAATTCGGCTACAAATTTGGAGAAACTAACTTCAGGGTTGGAAAGAAGAAGGGAAGAGGATTCTAGAGGTATAGTTTGACGCCCGTTGGTGACCAAAGGACGAAGCCGTTGCTGCATGATTCTAGAGGTATAGTTTGACGCTTGTTGGTGACCGAAGGACGAAGCCGCTACTGCATGAAAGAGAAGAGGGAGATAAAGGATACAGGAGGGAGGAAAGAGAATGAAGGGGGAAGCGAGCGGAGGGAATGAAGGGGAGGAGTTGGACTATTGTGAAGGGGAGAGAGGTTTAATGGTTTTTTTATTTGTTTTATTGGTGTTCAATAAATTTTATTGGTGCCCAGTTAATGACAAATGCACAAAAAAGTATTTTTAAGAAATAAAGTTATTTAACAGACACCAATGGTTGGTGTCTAAATTTTAAAGGCCACCGATATCAGTGGCCTCCAACTATAAAGACATCAAAAAATACTAAGAGTGCTTGCTTTATGTCTATGGACACCAATTGCAAATGGTATGTAAACATCGGTATCCTATAGCCATAATTCTAGTAGTGGGTGAGGTGAAGAGAAGAAAAAGATTGAAGATGAAGAGAAGGAAATGATTAAAAAGAAGATGAGCAGGAAGAAGAAATGAAGGCAATAAAATAAACCACTTACACTTCAATAGTCAACAAAATAAATAACAAATTGAAAAACTTTGGGCGAAAATTTTTGAAAATAATAAAATAAATCATTTATGTCGGATTTAACCAACATTACATTTATTATAACCGACAAAATACTAAAATAATAAAATAATTAAATTATGTCGGTTATAACCACCATCATCACCTTTAAAACAACCAAAATGTGTTAAAATAATTTTAAAAAAAAATACAAACTATCCGCCAAGAATTCTTGTTAAGGGAGGGATTTTTGGAATTAAAAAATCCGGGTGGTTATACTAATTTTATGTTGGTTGTATCCGACAATTGTGTTTGATGTCAGATATAACTAAGCAGAAGTTCTTTGTTATCCGACACTAATTGAATGACGTGTCGGATATGTTTTATCCGACATAATGACTTATAAAACCACCACCATCATTAGACACCTAAAACTAATTTTGAGGTAGTAAATGCTAAGGAAACTCTCTCAAAAGTGAAACTCTTCATGGACTCTAGCTTCCATAAAGAGTCATGAAGAAGGTGAGGTTTCACCATAAAACCAATTGACAATATAAGGAGCAGCCCAACTTACTTATAAGCTCATGCAAAGTCTCTCCTCTCATCAAATATGAGACTTTTTCTCAACACGCCCCTTCTTTGTGTCGGATATGTTTTACCCGACATAATGACTTATTAAACGACCACCATCATTCGACACCTAAAGCTAATTTTGTAGTAGTGAATGCTAAGGAAACTCTCTCCAAAGTGAAACTCTTCATGGACTCTTTACCACCTCTAGCTTCCATAGAGAGTCCTGAAGAAAGTTGAGGTTCCACCATAAAACCAATTGACAATATGAGAAGCAGCCCAACTTACTTATAAACTCATGCAAAGTCTCTCCTCCCATCAAATGTGAGACTTTTTCTCAACATGCCCCTTTATATGTGACAAAATTTCAAGCCTAAAACGTGGACAACACAATGAGGTGATGTGGAGCATATGAGATCGTTGGGCTTCACACGTAGGGCAACCTGTTCTGATACTATTAATAAAATTGAAGTTCTACCATAAAACCAATTGGCAATATGGAGAGTAGTCCAATCTCTTATAAGCACATGCAAGGTCCCTCCTCTCATCAATGTGGGATTCATTCTTAACACGTCCCTCACGTGTGGTGAATTTTCAAACCTAACATGTGGACAATACAATGAGGTCACGTGGAGTGCGTGTGGTGGTTTGGCCTCACATGTGAGACAACTTGCTTTGATATCATGAAGAAAGTTAAGATTCTATCATAAAACCAATTGGCAATTTGGGGAATAATCCAACTTACTTATAAGCTCATGCAAAATCTCTCTTCCCATAAAATGTGAAACTTATGGTCAACAAGTCCTACTATTGAGATAGTTTTCTTGACATGTCTCAACGTTGGATACATCATAGAAGATACTTTCAAAGATATATGCGGAGTCTTCTAGCCCCACGTGCTAATTTTTATCTTCTATCCCACGGTACCAAATTTGGCATTTGGATAAACAAAGTAACAATCATTTTGGCATCTAATAGCCTTCCTATGCTCTTATTAAAAAGATTCCTAATGCTATACGTAATACGTGAATTACATAAAAAACAATGCACTTGTTCGTTTTCGCACTCATGATGCAAAAGAACCAATTCATCAAAGAAATGTGCGTAAATACGCATGCATATCTAATTCATATTTTGCACGTAAGTGACAATAAAACCCAAAAACCAAATAAGTGGTTAAAGCGTACTCTTTGATTCTTTGTACTTCATGTCAAATCTTCATTTTTTGGGTTTAGTTTAATGTAAAATATTGTTTTTAATATTAAAATAATTGTGAAAGTGAGACCGACAGAAAGAGGAGGGGACACAAATTAAAATAAACAAGTTGATGACGATATAAAGGGTGATAGAATGATTGAAACAGCTAGTAGACGATGGGTGTTGGAATTGGATGTTTGGATGGAGCTTTGGGGCTGAAGAAACAAGAAAAGTTATTCACCAAGTTGCGTATGCGAAGCCCCACTTCGTTATTTTTAATCATATACTGATTAATTAATTAATTCATCTTCTTGCTAAGTTCGCACTACAATTAATTTTCAAACTGCCGTCTAATTGGCTTAAGAGAATCTACATGGTGGTAACATTTTTGTGGGATCTTTGGTAAAGGGTTAGGTTTCAGTTCGAAACCCTCTGTCGATCTGGAAGTCAGACTTGTGGTTAGGAGGAGATTGAAATAAAAAAGAAGAAGATATAACTGCAATCAATGGGTATTTCAAGCTGGATCGAACTAGTATTACTAACCTTTTGACGCGTCATAAGACAAAAGGTATTTCTTTTTGTTTTTTAAAATTGTAATCTTCTTATAATATATGCATGTTACAATTGTACTAAATTTGAAAAACAGTAAGTTTTAGGACCTAAGACTAAATCTAAAACTTTTGTTATTACCAAAAAACAAAAAAAAGGGCAATTTGAGATGTTTGAAAATTTATCTACAAGTAAGATGAGTTTATCCTCCCCCCAAAACACAATATTACGTATGTACCAAATTTTTGGCTCTCACATGAATATCATTGTTAATCCTGTATAATTATCAGACAGACGGGTCATATGGCCCACTTCCAACAATATCGATATTGTCCTCAATTTGGTAAATACCACATACACAATCTGTCAAATGTGAGGTTTTAACACAAAATATCTCGATATTAGTTGGAGTGAGATTAGAGTATTTAAACTCTTCTTTTGTCATTGATACGTTCGATGTGGAACATTTCAACACCCCCCTCACGTGGGATCCAATTAGTGGGTCACACGTGGAGCCAAGGGGACTAACTCTACACGCGGGGCCAAGGGACCCACCATCATCGCACGGGACCAAAGAGACCCACGCATCACGTGGTAATACAATACGGGCCTGCTCCTTGGCTCTGATACCAAAATGAAAGTATATGTGTTTAGGGGTTTAATCGTATGCTTTATTCTTTTCTCTTGGAGGCATATATATAGTTATACAAGAGGTCCTATAATTTAAGAAATAAGAATCCCAAATATATAATGAATCACTCATGTGATCCTAATATGTTTGACTCACGCCAGCAAATCCCACTTAGACTTACGTACCCTAGAATATTACGTAAATAAACCAGCTTACGTGTCAAAATTCCATTGCCTTGTCTAGAAAAAGTATCCTTATCCAATTCTGTTGGATAAGAGCAAAAGAATAATGAAGGCTACGGCCAGCTCTGGACTCGATCAACTACGTTCCTCCGAGTACACTCAACTCAACCGGTGGAATACTCGTACGTACCAGCACATCCACAGAAATTTAAATTTAAATTATATTTGATTTGACAAACGTGTTTGTTTTATACGTCTAAATAACAATACTGAATAATAAATTTTAAATTTTAATCAACTGTTAAGGATCACGTTCCCCAATAGTAATGAGAATTAATACATTAAAAGGAGAAAGTTTGACTATTACGTGTACGTGTTTAGAACATTTATTCATTGATCAGTAGTAATCATTTATGTGTATCCGTTTGATATTCTCTTTGTTGTTAATAATATTGTAAAAATTTTGTAGCTTAAATAGTTAATTAGATTATTATAAATTTATACATTCAAAATCTTGAGTTCAATTCCTCAACAATTTCTTTGATATCAAAAGATACAATTTTTCGTCAATAATCTAATACTACCGAGTAGTTGAAGAAATAAATTGTGAATGTGATGGTACTTAAGAAAGGGTGATTGGAAAATGTTGGAGAAAAGTGTGGGGTGCATCGTGGAAAAAATAGGATGAATTTAAAAGAGTGTATATAAAGCAAGTTACAAAAATTTGTCAAAGAAAAGAAAAGAGTTATAAAAAGTTGATGAAAATGATTAATCAAGTCTTCTCTTATTAGACTAGGTTAGTGCTTTTGTAATTATTACAAAAAGGGAATAAATCAAAGGTGACGACATCAAATTGTTGCAAGGGACAAACAACCACTTGACAACTGTGACAAATGAAAGGCTAGCTAAAATTTAAAAATACATCACCTGACACATCCCATTGGCGCGTGAGCCAAGTTCACCATCCTGTTCATCATCTTGTCCTCACAAGCACAAACTCAATCATTTGCGCGCGGCCAAACAGGAGAGAGCGTCAAGGCCATTAGTTTGGAAGCTTAAAGCTTCATGCTTTTATTTAGAGAGAGAGAGAGAGAGAGAGAGAGAGAGAGAGAGAAACGTTTCAGAAAACATTTTTTTTACATGTTAACGTTGTTGGTTTTACATCGCGAGACATTTATATCTGTGTCTCTGTGAGTCAGCATTTCATTTGCTCTGTTCCTGAATCTTTGGATGTACAAAGATCTCTCGCCTCCTCCAGGTCAGTATATTTTCTTATCCAATCCCTCTCTCTCTATCTCTCTCTCTCTCTCTCGATTGCTATCTCTGTTCTGTTTCCTTTGTATATGTATATCTGTGTGTTTATATGTATATGTCTGGTTTCTTCTGTAAGATTTTCTTTGTGGGGATCTTTTCCAACTTGGGTTTTTGTAAATTTTGAAAATTTTCATCTAGTTGGTAACTTTTCTCCAAATTAGTGATTGTTCTTCTTTTTCTGTGGTGAGTCATATGGCTTTTTTCTGTTTAATTATTTATGATATGAGGGAAGATTTTCAAATTACTAACAGCCTATTGCCATGCTATACTGTTTTCATTTCTTTTGATTTTTGACGAGTTTTTTTATCGTTTTATTTATGATGGAAATTCAGTTGAAAAGAAATGTGAGTCGAAGAGTGTTAGAGCTCCAAATTACTCAAAATAATTATGAACTTGATTTTCGAAAATATAAATTAGAACGAAAACTTTCCCGTTCTGGAAAGACTTGATAGTTGGGTGAAGTGAATCATCCTATCCCATGATTGTAGATAGGATGTTGAGTTCAATCTTTAACTGTTGACCCTGTTGGTTTAGGGAAGAGGGAGATTTGTCCTATTTGACAGTTTTAACTTTCTACAGGTGACCAAAGCAGAACATTTTTTCATAAGCTATTAGTAAATCTCAGTTGAGGAGTCCATTTTTGTTAGACAAATAAGGAATATGGTTGGAGTCCTTGTATAATTGTATATAATATTATTCACTATTGGAACTATAAGCCGTCCTACCTTGTCCTACCTACACACTAGCCGTCCTACAGCCGTCCTACCTTGTCCTACCTACACACTAGCCGTTCTACAGCCGTCAAGCCGTCCTACAGCCGTCCTACAGCCGTCCTACCTTGTCCTACCTACACACTAGGACGGCTACCTTGTCCTACCTACACACTTGTATCATGTATATATATCCTTGTAATCTTGTAGAGAAAGATAATGAGAAAAAAAGCATTCTCTTCCATTTTTTCCACATTCACGTATCAATAACAAATATATTTTTTAGCCTACATACCTTTTTCTACAATTTTCTGTTTCAATTTTACTGGTTTAAGTCGTTGTTTGAATCTTCGGCCGAGGTTAGAGAAATTCTAACCAGAGTTACATGGTGAAATCTATGGCATAGTTTTTGATATTGAAGTAGCAAAATTGAAACTTCTGCAAAATTGAAGTAGCCATTTTTTACCTGCATATATAGGAAAAGATGGTGTCGGTGTAAGCTGTTAAGAATCATGTGGAGGGCATTTGACAACAAAATGAAGTTGTGGCACTAATATTTGAAATGTTTAAATTGTGAGTGAGAAATGGGGGGAATAATTTCTTGACAACTATTTGAATCCGGGAACATTGTAAACGGGCTTTAACTGGTATTTAGGAAAATTTAACTCACAGAAGTGGTGATCAATTCGCAAGTAGTTATCTGCTCTATACTTGGTGCATTACCTACCATATGCCATAGTGACAAAAAAATTGCATATGTGCAGGTGTTTGTGAACGGTTTCCTGGTTTTGTTGGGTTGGTGCGTCATCAGTGACCAAAATGGCTGTATTCGTCTGCAATCATGAGTCACCATGGTGTCATCTCTGTAGCACAAAGTGAGACTACAAAAGGAGTCAAACCGTCATACTGTAATTCCCCTTCCCCAACACATAATTTTTGGGGTAGTGAATCAGAAGGCAGGAGTTTCACAGCCAGTGATTGTTCATCTCCACGCGTGTCTCCTTTCATACGGGAAAACTCTTTTGGACCTCCTACTAATATGCAAGGATCCCCTGTTCAGCATTCCAAGAGCGCGTTTTCACGTTCTTCTGTTTTCTGTACCAGCTTGTATCAGTCTTCTTCATCGAGCCCCGAAACCTCTCGTCAGCTTGGGAATTTGCCATTTCTTCCACATCCTCCAACATATGGCCAGTCCATTTCTGCTGTTGATTCAAAATCTCCATTGCTTTTTAGCGAGGATAAAAGCAATCAATATGATGACAAACAATCAGAGGATCTCATGAAAGACTTTCTTAATTTGCATGGAGATTCCTCACACGGAAACGTCCATGGTATTAGTTATGGAAGTGACACTCTAGCACTTACAGAACAATTAGACTTACAATTTTTGTCAGATCAACTTGACATGGCTATCACGGACAATGGAGAGAATCCTGGGCTTGACGTAAGTAAATTATAGTCATCAAATACTATTTGCTAAAAAATTATAGATGTTACTCGATTCTAGTTTTAACCACATATGTTTTGGATTTGGATGAACTGTGAATGACTTGTTTTTTAATCAGTTTCAAATTTCTTCGTGATATTTTCTTGTCATGTATTTTACAAGTAACTATTGCTTTCCATGATGTCGGTTTTATAGGAAATATATGAGATTCCTCAACCCTCACCAAAACCGGATATAGGACTGACAGCATGTAGTGAGGGTTGTCGCTTGACAACACCGCTCGTTGATGCTCTTACAAGTCACCCCTCTCCCGGGCCAGCCACCGCACATAGGCCAAGAATGCGATGGACGCCTGAACTCCATGAGCGTTTTATAGAGGCCGTTAACAGGCTTGATGGGGCTGAAAGTAAGTACCACACCTTATATTCTACTTTAAACTGGGATTTTGTTCCATTTAAATGGGGGGAAGCCCTATTTGTATTAGTTAGTCTAGTGCAATTTTCTCTGTTGATTACTTAATCTAGTTAAGCTGATGTTTACAGAAGTTACCAACATTATTTCGATTTTTACGAAGAGCTCATGAGTGTACTTTGACATGCAGAGGCCACTCCGAAAGGTGTATTAAAGGCTATGAATGTTGAGGGCTTAACCATTTATCATGTGAAAAGCCACTTACAGGTACTCATCTTTAAGTTTTCAGTGATATAAGAGTCAAATCTTGTACGTAATGTAGCTATTTGACCTATGTTGTTAATTCTTGTTATCTGCAGAAATACCGACTTGCCAGGTATATGCCAGAGAAAAAGGAAGGTAGGAACAGATTTTGAAAGTAAATCGTAGCTTTTGTGAAGTCGTAATATCAGCCATTGAGCTTTGTTTCACAAGTACAATTTATTTGCTAGTTGGCTGCGACACGAGAACTGAACTAACCAGGCCTGGATATGATCATACAGTTGGTTTGAAACCTTCGTTTCTTGAAGGGCATAGTTTTAGGTTTATCTTGGCTCGAGCGAGTTAGAAAGTGATCTTGGTTGATAGTTTCAGTTTGGGCTGTCGATGATCATGTTTATCCAATGTCACTAGATAGTTTGACAGGATGGTTTTTCAGCTAAATAGAAGATTAGATCTGTTTTCCGTAATGTACATAGTTGAATGTTCTTACAAATTGTTGATCTGCACTCTCTCTCACTCCTTAGATAAGAAGGCCTCTAGCTCTGAAGAAAAGAAAGCAACTTCTACCATTAACGAAAGCGATGGACGTAGAAAAGGGTCAGTATTGCTTCTCATACATATCTAGTTTTCTCAGCAAATGTTTGGATATTATTTTGTTTAATTTGTGAAACTTCATTTTTCTTGTCTCAGGAGCATTCACATCACCGAGGCTCTGCGCATGCAAATGGAAGTTCAGAAGCAACTGCATGAGCAGCTTGAGGTGAGAATTCATTTGAAATAGACCACAGTTGATATTTCCCTTTGTTCTTTTGGCTGCACATCGGTTTCATGGTAGTTCAGATCTTGAGTCATTTAAGAAAGTTTCGGTTTTGGTCTTGTATAATTCTGGATTGCAAACATAGGTTCAAAGGGTCCTTCAGCTACGCATAGAGGAACACGCAAAATACTTGCAGAAGATCTTGGAGAATCAGCAGAAAGCCGGCAGTGCTTTACTTCCTCCGCAAGCTTTGTCATCACTGACGATTAATTCCGCTCAAGGTGTCCGCGCAACTGCCTTCATCAACCTGTGTATCACCCCCACAACCTGCCGTGTCTGACTCATCATCGCCTCAATCACTAAAGCATAAAGCTACTGACTGTAGTGACTCTGAGCCGCAGACGTGTGCCAAAAAGCCCCATCTTGAAGAGAGACCGGATGAGGGTGTGGTCGAAAATCCTCAATTATAACTGCTTCCACAACACCTACTCCACCTCTAAAGTCTCAAGTCCATTGTTTGTATCATGTATAGAACTTCCCAGCTTTTTGTAGCTAAAACTAGCAATTGAATTAATATTGCTTGACTTGTATCTCTTGACAGAAAATTAGTAATTAAATGAAGAGATCATCTTTTCAGTTCATTCTGTCAACTGTATGAATATTCTTGTGAGAGAAGTAAATGTAGAGAGAACACAGAGTTTAGAGAGACAGAGATGGAATAATTGTTTTCTGTATTTCACCTCAATGAATGTAATAATCTTACAACCAAGTATTTATAGCTTACACCTTATAACAACCTTAAGACAACTTCACTGTAATCTAGTGACACTTGTCACGATCCTAGCAAGACACACTATCCATCCTCCCTCAAACTCAGGTTGGGCACTACCAAGCATGAGGTTGGAACAATTGAATCTAAACTCTAGAGAACATAACCCTTGTAAACATATCAGCAGCCCAGCAGAATTCACAAACTACAACAAAATTGGCCCTCGTTGAACACACTCTCTCGCAAAATGACAATCTATTTCAATATGTTTGGATTTAGAGTGGAAAACAGGATTGGTGGCAAGAGCCATCGCTGAGATGTTGTCACAATGAAGCAAAGGAATGTCTCAACAAGACAGCTGTAAATCTCTAAGTAATTGTTGCAGCCAAACAACCTCTCCAGTGCTGGTAGCCATAGCCCTATATTATGCCTCGATGGAAGACCTGCTAACTGTATATTGATCTTAGTGCTGTATTTTTATGCGTAAACGGAAGCGAATTCTAACAAAATACCAATATCGACGTCAAGGAATTTCACTAAACAAACGGAGATTACAAAAGAGTGTTTGAACTCTCACAACCCAAATCCCACAAATTGACTCACCAAATTGTCACACAAAAGTGCTACACAAAATACACTGACCCTAAGGTCCTATTTATAGTGCATAGGACTTAGGTTACAATAAGAATCCTAATGGGAAGTAAATACAAATCCTAATCAAATAGGTAATTAACAAAGTCTCTCCACCAAGGAAAACAACTAAGAAGTCAAAATCCAAACCCAAATAGGACACCAAAACCAAATAGGTAACACAAACCTAATTCTTTGCATCATCCTAATTTTGAGCTGTAAAACCCAACACTTAGAACTCTAAGAGATAGGGTTGGAGCCAAGAGACACAACAAAACCAGTCGTGGATCGTCTATCATTGGGATCACCAGCCCAATCAACATCTATATCAGCTCTCAAATGTAAAGGTCCATGTCTAAAGCACAAACCAAGATTTAAGGAACCTTTAAGATACCTTAGGCTTCGCTTGATAGCAACAAAGTGAGTTTCCAGAGGACAATGCATAAATTGGCATACCTAATTAACAGTAAAACCAATGTCTGGCCGTGTAAAAGTAACATATTTTAAATCCCCTACAAGACCTCGATAAGCAACTGGATCTAAGACTAGAGGACTGCCATGGTTGAACAGTTTTTGATTAGGATGGAAGGGAGTTAGACATGGTTTACAATCAACCATATTAGCCTTTTGGAGCAACTCCTTGACATACTTGGTCTGATGAACAAACCAACCCTGAGATTGATATTCAATTTGTAACCCATGGAAAAAAATATAGAATGCCCAGATCCTTGATGTCAAACTCTTGTGTCAATTGAGTAATCACAGATTGTATAGCATCATTGTTATCCCTAATCAAGATTTTATCATCCACATACAACAACATGACAACAATTGATGTGCCACTAGACTTAACAAATAGAGAAGGATCAATATATGATGTTTTGAAACCCAAGTGAAGAAGAAATTTTGAAAAAAGTTCATCCCAGGCTCAAAGAGCTTGCTTTAAGCCATATAATTATCTTTTCAACCTGCACACATAATCTAGATGTGTAGAATCAATAAATCCTTGAGGCTAGGACATATACACTTCATCTTCAAGAAAACGATGCAAAAAAGCAATTTTGACGTCCAATTGTTTAAGTTTCCAACCATGTGCTAGCTAATGACAAAACTATCCTGACTATAGTTGGTTTCACTACAGGACTAAAGGTTTCATAATAGTCCAGCCTAGCTTCTTGAGAAAACCCCTTTAGCAACTAAACGAGCTTTGTATCGAGTAACTGAACCATGTGCATTTCTTTTTAATCTTATAGATCCACTTACACCTTACAAGATTCTTGTGTTCTGGAAGACGAACAAGCTGCCAAGTATTATGTTGAATGAGGGCTTTAGTATGTATCAAGAAAAACAATACACACACATCACTTTTTAGCTTATCACACAATCTTGTCTAATCCTGGACTTTGTTTACCAAGTGGTTAAAGTCATAATTTATAATTGTATTAGGTAATTAGTTAAAAGTCAGAAAAACCTTAAGGCCACATTTGGTACATTAGAGTGTACATATTATTTCAGTCGGATAGACTAATTTGGGCATTACATGGTATTGACTAGGTAGTCAGGCGTTTATTACTGTATTAGACTATTTATTACTGTATTAGACTATATCAAATTATTTTATCCTATGTTTTGTATGTACTAGATAAGAGCAGATTAGAAAAAGAAGAAGAATCAGAGTAATGGAGCATCTCGCCAAGACCATGGTGATGCCAATCTTTAACCAAAATCAAACCCTCTTCTCCTTCTTCATATGTTTTTTCCGTTAATTTTTGAATTTCTTTTTGCTCTCTAGTTGTTGGAATGGAAAAATCCCTTTTTTTGTTCTTATGTAGATTGTAGACTGGGATTTGGGAAGGGGAGGGTAGTGGTAACAATTGAGTTGGGGTCACTGGAGAAAGGTTGCTATGGTGATTGAGATTATGTTGAGATGGGTTTGGGACTTTAGGGAAGAGGAGAGGGGAGCGATGGTAATACCTGGGGTTGAGACAACGGCTGAATGACGGCCATGTGAAGGAGATTTGCAAACAATAACCAAATTCGCGAGAGAGGGATGGAGAGTGCGAGCAAGCGTGTGTTTCCTACCTGACTAATTATACTAGGCGCGTGTAAGCTGTATTAAATTTGTAGGCCAATATTATTTTATTCGGTGACTATTTTTTTTTTTTTTTGGTTGAAAAGTAATAGGGTAAAGTACAAAAAACAACCTTAACTATTGGTCTCACGACACTTTCGTACCTCATCTTTTAAAATGACAATGTCATACCTCATCTTACGAATTTGTGCCAATGTCATACCTCCGTCAGTTTTCTGTTAGTTTCTGTTAAGTTATGAGCTGGCAGGTGTGGGAACCACATCCTTACCCAACTAAATTAAAAAATTAATTAAATACTAATAAATATATTTCAAAAAAAAAAACCTAATAAATAGAAAAATCATTTAAAAAAATTATTAAGAAAATGTGGGACCCACCCCTATCCCCCATCTTTTCCCTCGAAGATCTTCGACCCAAACAGAGGCCCAAGACCTCTCCTCCTCCGACACCCCATCCAAACCCCCACCTACTCCTCTTCTGATCCTCGCCAATCTCGAGACTCCGACCACTGCTATTCCTTGCCATCCTCAACCGCATCCCACCTCTGATGCCGACATCATCCACATCCTTAGCTATTCCGGTTGGTCTCGCCGGACCACATCCACCACTGTGAGGTCCGATTCCTCCCTGAGTTTTTCTATTCTTGATCCCATTCGAAAAACCCTAGCCTCTACAAGTACTACCGTAACACCATCATCGTCGAATCCAGGGTCGTCGACCCTTCTCGAAAGCTCACCTTCATGGAGGCCCGCAAGTCTCTAGTTGGCGACATTGACTCCGTTCAGAGGTTTTTGATTTCCTCGAGGTGTGGGGTTTGATCAATTACATTCATTCCGCGCTCAACAAATCCCTTAAGTGGGAGGACAACAGCAAGGCCCCGGTGCTTCTTCTAATAGAGGCGGTGAATCCCCCGCCTACGGTGCTAAGGAGAGCCCCAAGAAGATGACTTGCTATGGCTGCAAGTTTGTTTGCAACATTGCCTCAACTATGGAGATTTGAAATTGCCCCAAGAAGAGGACTTGAAATTGAGGTTTTCTGTTTAAAATTGGCACAGAGATTTGAATTTAGGGTTAAGGTTTGGGGGGAATTAGGGTTAAGGTTTGGGTCGAAGAAAGAAGGGGGTTCTGAAACATAAAGAGGGACAAAGGTAGGGGACGGGACGAGTGCGAGTGGGGAGAGGGACGGAGGAGGGAAACCGCATCCCAGAAAGGGAAGAGAGAGAAGAGAGAGAGAAAGTGGTGGAGGAAGGTTAGGGGGACAGGGAAGGGTTTGGTGGCTATCGAAAAGAAGAAGAAAAATGGTTGGTGCGGGTGGAAGAAAGGGAAGGCTGGATCCCTTAGGCCATTTTTTATTTTTTTTAGTTTTTTAATTTTTGAATATTTAATTATTAAAAAAAATTTTTATTATCTTTTTAATCTAGTTGGATTAGTGAGTGAGTCCTATCTTTGGCCATCTCAGCATTTAACAGAGAAACTAACAGAAAAACTGACGGATGTATGACATTGTCATTTTAAAAAGATGAGGTATGAAAGTGTCGTAAGACTAATAGTTGAGGTAGTTTTTTTGTACTTTACCCAAAGTAATATCTCAAAGGAAGGCAAAATAACCCAAATACATTGGGGAAACAGACACACAACAGCCTTGCCGAATCAAATAAACAAAAACAAAAGCCATAATCACTAATCTCCAACTGGAAAAAGTAGCGCCTACCGTGGTCACCGCCACAAAAAGTCTTGCTAGTAGCCACTTAGGCAATTCCACTAGAGAAAATGACTGAGCGGTCAATTCGACCAAGACATCGCAGCACAACAGTAACAAACCTACAACCAAAAGCACTCACATCTAGATTTTGTCACCCAAAATGCATAACCAAGAGATAGTCACCGAATCCAAATCTCATTCACCAATCCCTGAAATATATACATAGTAATACATGGATAGAAGGTGAGGCTAAGGAGTTATGTAAAATACCCTAACTTTGGCTGAAGCCACAAAACATTTGCCCTCGAGGGAATTCTGGCATGCCTGTAAAGGGAGGGAAAGTGAGGGAGGGTAATGAATCCAGCAACCATTTTCACTTGAGCCCGCAAATTAGAACAAAGGATGAATGTGGGATGGATTATGAGGAAGAAAGGCAAAAGGAAAAAGCA